AGAGGGTGATCATATGGGGATATTGGTGGTCTGGCCTAACAGGTGAGAGAGTATCTGAGTAGGTGGACAGCCTGCTGCAGGCTGTTGGGGTAGGATGAAGACAGTGTCTCCACAAAAGCATGGTCTGACTTCAGATAAGGAGAAAGTCTTACTTAGGGGACAAGGGGAGAAAAGGATGAGAGAGGGTGATGCCTGGCATAAAGGCTCAGAGCATGAGCTCAGTAAAAAGGACTCCATGAAGAAGGACAGCCTGACTCGGGATGTCAGAGCCTAGATGAGGTGAAAAGGGTATCAACACAAGGTGAGGCGCTGTGGTGGTGGCCTATAGTAGGTGATAAGAGCTGGAGCTGGGTAAAAAGAACATTGGTGCAATGAGGGGGACAGCGGCAAGTTTGGTTACAGAAAGGAGGACTAATCAAAGTAAGGAAGTATTTAAGATGCCTTAAGCCAGATTTCTCATTGTCAGAAAAAGGAGTTACAAATATGAAAAAGAAAAAAACTAAACAAACTCTGTATTACTGGATTAAAATGGAAAGTATTGGTGTCAACTTATGGTTTTCAATACAGACATATCATGACTACGAATATAAATGCAAATGTGTGTATATGTATCACACATGCAATATCTGTTCTCTAGCTCTTTCTACTGAGGGGGTCTAGGAACAGTGATATTCCAGTAACAATGAGCATATCTAGTTCTTAGCTCTTGATTTCTAAATATTTTTCTCCAAATAAATAAATAAATAAATAAAGCAAGCAAGCTGGGTCAGGAAAGTACAGGATGAGCATGGAACATCTTGTTACCTGGAAGGACAATATGAGGACAACAGGGTAAACTTGGATGGGGTCGAAATGAGATGTATGAACGTATCAGTGTTAACATCCTGATTTTGACGATTGCATTATGGTTGCTAGGAGAAACTCCTTGTTTTTAAGAAATACACATTAAAGTACCTGGAAGTGATGGGGCGTCAAGTCAACAATTTTCACTTAAATAGTTAAGGAAAAAAACTTTTTTGTATATACTTTTCTATAAGTTTGAGGTTAAATGAGTGAACAAATAAATGGATGCGGAGATGGTGAAAAAGGCAGTAAGGTGAAAGGCAAGAAGAACTACTTACTGAGGTCTTCAGCCAGTTGAACTCGCTTTCCAGTAAGCAATTTTACCTTCTTCTCACTATCTTCAGCAAAATCTTCCAATACTTCTTTAACATTTTTCTCTAATCGTCTGACTGTTCAAAGTAAATAAAAAGCCTTAGGAGCTCCATTTTTATGAATACACAAGGATAAAACTAACAATGTATGGAGAATAAGTTCTTATTTTTCTCATCTGCATTATATCTATTAAGTTCATAGAAAGAATAGTTATAGAGAGAATCTCTACCTGTTATATAGTACTTTTAACAACATAAAATTAATACATATTCTCAGAGAAAGTCATACTCTCAAGCCTTAACACTTTAACAGATATGCAGGTTTCTTAGAAAAAAAAAACAAAGTGATGCTTAGGAGTCCTTTTCTAACACAGTTTTTGTGTAATGAATGGAGACTCCTGGTATGTTTTACCTCCCATCTTTTTCAGTTATGATTTATTTTGATTAGTATTTTAAGGTCAAATAAAATTTTCAGTTTTTTGAATAAATCGATTTTAAAGGAAGTATTTTGTCATCCTATTAAAAAGAGATGTTATTACTTTTATTTTTCATGTTAAAATAAAAAATGGTCACTCTGCGGCTTACCTTCAGTATTTGTAAGTTGTTGCCTTAAAGTATTTGCAGTGATGGCAAGCATGCGCTGTATTCGCCAAAACAGGACGACATCATTGCATTCCAACTGAAATATTAAGTAATTAAGATTACCACATGTAAATTTAAACATAAATTTGGTCATGAGCACAGACAACCACTAAAGCGAGTACCTAAGCTTTAAATAAAAATACTCGAATTTACCTAACATATATATTCCTATTGTAGATACAAGCTACTGAATCTTCACAGGACCTATCAAATTCTACATGATCTGGGTTCTATCTACCCTACACCTACATAGTTTTGCTTTGATTCCCGTGACAAACCAAATAAACTTGGGAAGTGGAACATTTCATTACATTATATACAAGTAGGAATCCATTGTATATAACTTAATTTGTATTTAGTTTCAACTAACAACAATGTTATCTTAAATATGGTCCTTAGTTTAACCTCTTTTCTTTGAGTGTGCACTCAAATTTTTGAAATTCAGCTGTATACAAAAATAAATTAGTAATATTTTTTAAAAAGTTTATTCTGTAGCAGTCTTCCCATTAATTAAAATTATGCAAATTTATCACTTTTACATAAGTGCATTTAAATATAAATTTAATTTTGCTGAAAACTAAAAGAAAAGCATTTTAGGAGTCTCAAATAAGACTACTGATTAATAGAGCTCTTTCAGAAGGATACATTAAAAAACATTTCTGCTTTTAAGAAAATGTTCAAAATACATCAGTCTGCTGCCACCTAGGGGTTGCTTTGTAATATGTGACATTAAACTAAAACTATCTCTTCGAAAACCATGGAGTTAAAAAAAATTGTTTAAAACAAGATTTTAGTGAAAAGAAAGAATTACAATATATGAAAACAGTACAATTAAAAAACTTTTGCAGTATGATTTCCACTATGCAAATGGATGGTTACGTTTACACAAACACAACCATATATAGAGAGATAAACAGAAATACAAAAAATGTTAATTAAAATTACTTCTAGGTAAGTAACGATTTCCTTTCGCATATTTTTTTTTACATTTATTTGTTGCATTTACTTTCTACAATGGGAATGTATTATTTTCTAACATAAAAAGTTAATTCTTAAATTTAAAAAGGTTTAGTGTCTGTTACAGGCACACAGAATCTCAGGCACTGAGATGATGTGCATGTAAAGAATGCAGTTATTACCAAAGTGATAAATATCTTTGGAAATATGGATTAGGTTATTCTTTATAATTCACCCATACTTTTTTCCCAGAAGATTAAAGAAATTAAAATTAATGCTAAATTAAAATTAATGCTAAATTTAGCTAAAGCTAAAGTTTATTTTTAAGCATCTAAGCAACTATAACTAAAAAATATTTCCCTTGTTTTTGGAAACTTTACCTCAGAATCTACAAAATGCCTTTGGTAATAATAAAAGCCTCTTCGACAAAGGTTACAATGGTTTAGAGCTGTTTTTAAGAAATGTCTTCTATACACTTGGTGCCAAGTATCCTTAATCTAAAATAAAAGAAAACAAAGACCAAAGAGTCACTACACACTCTTCAGGTTGATCAAACACATTCTGAAAAGTTATACACAAAGCTTATTAATAAAAAAGTTAATTAAAATCAATGTCGACGTTGTTATTCTACCAACCTTTTTTATAGATTAAAATTTTTTCAAGACCAAGATTAGATTTACTATTACTCTGTCCCCTTACCAGTTTATGTACTTCAAAATTTACAGTGTTTTTTAACAAGCAATTATTATATTCAAATAATCATCTTGTAGAGTAGATCAGGTAGGGATTATCCTTTCCTAGTTAGAGGTAAAGCATTCAAGGCAAAAACAGGTTGTGAGCCTTGGGCAGAGTAAGGACCAGGAAGCTGGCATAAGATCATGCCCATCAACCCAACAATATTTTCTTTCTGATTATTAAATTTCGGTTACCACAGCAATATAACCCCCACCACATTATTAGTATATATTCTGTTAGAGGGTTCGAAGTCCTTTAACAGCATTGTGTTTTTTTGAGCACAACAATATTATCTAGGTAGAACAGGTATCACCAACACCATCTGACAGATGAGAAAGAAGAGTGGAACTCAGAGAGAATAAATCAGTTACAAAGGTAATATTACTAGCTAATGGAATGGAACCATGCTAGAATTCACATCTCTGACATCTAGTCCAACCACAATTCTTGTAATAGTACTTTGCTACCTATTTTATAGCCTCATAAAGTACACTAAACAGAGTGTCTCTTGGAAAAAAACCTGAGATTTTCTGGCTCACAGAAAGTAATTAAGATATGCAGTCAATCCATATCCTAAAACATGGGCAAAGTCTCTCCTACTGTATTAAGCAAAGTGTCAACACTTACAGCCACATAAAGTTTAAAAGTATCAAAACTGAATACGACTTATTGTTAAAGAGAGCTAGGGCCAATGTGGATAAATTAAATCTACATTCAACTAATAATGACATGTAATCATTAGTCTTAATTTCATTTTCAATTTATAAATAATGTTAGATGCATAACAGCTTTAACTGCTCTGAGTTTCTCCAGTTTTCCTTTCTTGTTCTGACCTCTGGTAGAATTTAAGATAAATATATACATTTTTCAAACATAGAAACATAAATAACAGATAATCTTAAAAGAATTTATATATGGCTCTGAAATTTCTTATATGATTGCTTTCCTCACTTGTCTCATTGGGTTTCACTTAAGCTAACTTAGGCTAATATTAAAATGAGGTTTTGTTCCCTAACTAGGGAACACAGACCCAGAAACAGTTTTTGTGTGTGTGTTTTTTTTTTATTTCCCCAAATAAGCAATATGAAGGTAAGCAAAAAGTAGTCTAAACTATAATTACTTTTATCTTCATATTTATTATAAGTGAGGAAAAAGAGATAGAAACCCAAAGGCATTATCCAATTTAATAAAAACAACATTCATATTATTTCTAAATGCACTCATACCTGATTAAGGTACATTTAATTGAAAACACATATATAAACACGCCCTTGTTTAAACAGAAATTCTACTTTGTAGCCTGAAACAGTACAATGTGGTGCAGAGATATGCAGGAAGGGGTGGGGAGTCATCCCTTTTGCTAGAACTTGCCCAGGTACTTCACTTTTCTAGGTCTTGATTTCTCCTTTTACAAATTAAAGCGTTACACTTAAAAAAGCAATAATGAGAACAAAATTTCTACTCTTTACAAATCAAAATCGGTTTTTACTGTCAGCAAAAGTACAAATGATCAAAATCACAGTAAGCACTTAAATACCTAAGTGATACATTAGAAGTAGTAACATTTTACTACAAGATACAAAGATTAGGGAAGCAAGTTTATGCTTTTCGGCATATGTATTACCAAGCTCGGATCTACTTCTACTCCTCGGGATTCAAGGTTCTTTCGGACTGTAGTTATCTCATCACTTGCAAGATAAGCTGGGTGTTCCTCGTTACATTTCAACATCTTCTCCAATTCATTCTTGGTTTCATTGTGAACACACTTTAAAATGTTTAAAAGAAGATAAACATTTTAGTTGGTTCACAATTTGGCACACTTATAAAAACAAAGTCCCAATTTTAATAAATGTGTTGCCATTGCACAATAGGTGACAAAGCTCAATAACAACAGGAAAGAATATACTGCGTTGGCTTTTGAATACAGGGCAACCGGCTTATGAATGCAGAACAATTACAAGAGGCAAAAAAAAAAGGGAATAGCCTTATTTATTATATTTTACTTTTGCTAAAATATTTTACTGTCGAAATTACAGCACTAGGCACCTTACTATGTACTTTCTTGACCTGAGGGTATGATTTTAGTCTAGGAAAAAGTACCCTGAATATACGGGAAGAAATAATGTTCTAAGAATTAGACGACTCTAAGGGCTTACAGCTGTTGATATGTTTCTTTTCTGACAAATATAAAATTCAAAGTTTGATTTTTTAAGTCTTTTCATTAAAAATTGTACTTTAGACTGTTTCTGTGAGGTGCCTATCATTTTTTAAATTCACTTCCAATCTCTTCTCTATAATTGTTCATAATCCTTTCACCAAAGGAGAAAAACACATACTCACTAGTGAGAAGTTTGACAATAAGATTTATAGTGTCAAATTAAGTTTACCTTTTCAGTTTTTAATCCTTCTTTCAAAATTGCATGGTAAAAGGAACTAGGTTCAAATTCACTGATTACTCTAAACAAATTACTACCATAGCACTTAGCCCAAACTGTACCTAGTTACAGAATCTGAGTATTAATACAAGAATAACACCTAAACACACACAAAAAAATTGTAATGTAAAATAACTACTAATTAATACTTTCTGAAAACATGACATTTTAGAATAAGTATTTAATGAAAAGAAATTTCTGCTATTTGGCCTGCAGTAAAAAGAAAATCTCAAATACAATATTGCTCAATTCTTTCTGTCCTGTTTTCGCTTTCGCCTGTTATCTGTCCCCACCTCACGTGATCTTTAGGACACTGCTCTCCCATATACTCTGACCAACATCTATATTAGCTCAGCTCAGACATGGTGAGAATGTTTCAAACGAATGGATTTTTCCTAGTAAACTAAGGAAAAAGTAATACCTCAAAAACACAAAACAGTTTTCAGAGCACGAATTTCTCATCTTTAACACAGGACAATCTTAAGTTTCTTTTCCTGCTAAATCCAGTCACTCGAAAAGACAGAAAGAATTGTTAGACAGCTACTTTAAACTTGCAATGTGAGACTTGGAGGTATTCTCAACCTTTTCTAGAATATGTTTCTTACTGTAACGTCTACATCTAGAACAGTGGTTTTCAACCAGGAGTGAGAGGGTTAGAAAGGTTAGAGAAGGATAACTTGATTCAGTGAGTCTGACCCAGAGGCTTTGTTTTGAAAGAGAAAACAAAATTCATACCTTCCCAGATGATTCTGATGTTCCTCCTCTCTACACTCCACATTATGGCCTCTGTTCTAAAGTTAGCTTGGGTCTTATGCATGCTGCCCTGAAACGTTGGGAGAAAGCTCTTCTCTGAAGGGTTTACACATTCCTCGTCTAGGCTGCAGATCCTTGCATTGACCTTAAGACTAATTCCTCTCCTTCTCTTGGAAGGGATCCCCTATGAGTTCCAGTTGCTGAGAAAAAATAACTTCTAACCAGGAATCATTTCTCTCTGAAAGCGTTTGGCAAAAGCTTATTTGCCACAAATTGCTAAAACGAATTCTGTTGCCATTAATTGTTCTGGAGAGTTTGGCCTAATTTCACTAGGCCTTGAACATCAGACATCATTTTTCTTTGGAGTTTATTTGCTTTACACCAGTTTTTTTCCAATCAATGCCTCTTTCTGTCTCCAAGTCAGAAACCTCTGACGGATCCCCTGGAAGTTCTTTTCTGAGAGACCTCCCTCTCTCAGTCCACCAGCAGAGCAGAGATAACTGATACACCCTGAACACGGGCATAATACAACCACTAACTCTGTGCATTTCCTCAGTGTCTTAATGACTCCTTTTTCCACACACACACACACACACACACAAAATCAGAAAAAAGAGGAAGACTGTTCCTTCACTATTTTAAGACAAATTGGAACTCACATCTGATAGTTTATGAAACAAAAAGTGCATGAAGCTAGAAAAAAATAGGGTATTGAAATGAAAACAAAAAATAAAATAAATAAGACAATGGGAATACCATGTGATCTGCTAATTTTTTATTTTCTATCTCCTCTTTTAATATTCCCATATCCTCATCTCCTTTCTCTGATCACATGGATTCAGAAACAAGAAAAAAAAGTGAATTGAATGCTACCTCTTTTTCATATTCATTATGTATTCTAATTCTATATTGTATTTATACTCTCTTATTTAGGAATGCACAAGAATGAGATAGCAGCATAAGACCGAGTCCTTGATAGGAAAAGAAGCCATAACAATAAGTAAGGAATTAAAAAGGTAAGGGATGGGGACTTCAATGATTTATACCTTTTCCCTCTTTTACTCATTTGTAAAGTTACTTATACTTGCCTTTACCATTTTGTTCTTCTGAAGTGCTCATTAAATGTAAATAAATGAATTCTACTGTTCTGCTTCCTGTCTGAATTTGTATACTCATTTTGTGAACACAAGAGCAAAAAATGTAAAAGTATAAAATCATTTGAATAACAGAAAAATTCAAAGATAACATGATAAAATACGGTTTAAAAAAGTCAAGATATCTTTTCATCTAATTATATTCATTTTACATCCTCTAAAATCCATGTCATTCTTTACCTTCTTTTTGTAACTTTAATCTTCACTTACTTCAAATAGGGAATTAAAATGAACAAAGTAATCAACCACAAAAGAGACAGTTTCCTCTCCCTTTTAATAACACAGCTACTTCACTTAAAAAAAAATCTTTCATTTATAGTTTACTGTTTATTCTTAAGGTTCATTATATTTTAGAAAGGCTGACATAAACATTTAAAATTATTAAGATTGGTCTAGAGGCATGTAAAGGTTATATTTTAATACTTGAATTAAATGAACAAAATGATACCATCATAAGACCAGAGATTTGTTTGTTTTTACCTGTTCTTGGGTCCGATTTTTCCAGTATAACCACCTCTTTTTCCAATCTGGACCTACCATGTTTTCAATTGCATTTTCAGCTAAACGAATTTAAAAATATTTATTAATTCATCAAGAATGTTATCACTTACCAAATACATAAATTATAGCTAACAATATTCTTGCTTCCTTAACTACTTCACAGTGATATATCAATGTAAAGTCAATTGAAATAAAGAAAAAAATTATACAATTGATATGTTGCATATGTTAAGATTTAATTATATATGTTTAGAATTTATGAAAAGTACAATTGCTTATAAAGTTCCAATAAGCATAGTAGCAAACACTAAAACAGTTTGAATTATGAGTACACATAAATTTAATATTTTTAGCAGTTATTCAGCAGTTGACTCAAAACCCCACAAATAATATTCGACTACAGTATTAATGACAAAGACTTTGAAATATTAGTTATTATTTTTTTGACAAATGTTCGCTAAAGTTAGATGACTCCTTAATCACTTGGAATACTCAAAACTCAGTAACTTGTGTCCCTACTTACTATCCTTGAGACGAGCCTGAAGAGCCTCTTCCATAAAATAAATAGCTGCATCCCACTGCTGTTTATCAGATATGGACCGGTCTTCTAAAGCATTGTGTTGAATAACCCTCTGAAATAACAAGGAAAGAAAAACAGCTAATTTGTGTCTTATCACTTAGTAATTTTTATTCAAATTGACAACCAAAATAACAGATATATCTAAAATAACATAGAAGTATGTCCCTTCCACATAAATGCTATTTGTCTACTTATTTGTCAGCTTTCTGCCTAAAAAACAGTGGACATTTTCTCCTAGCCCCAATTAAATGAGCTGACCATCTCTAAGATGGGGGAGGGGCTATTACACATGTAAAATCCAACATCTATAACCCTAATGTTCAGGAGTTAATGATACAGCATCTCTATCTCTCCTTTTTGCCACATGACCTATGTGTTAGCATTTTCAAAACAGAGAGGAGGAAAGAAAACAATAACCATTATCTCACTGGTAACAACAATGAAAGATGTAATGGAAGGAAGCTTAGAAGGCCTAAACAATCATAAGTAAGTTATTTATTATAAGAAAATTAGTTTCCAAATATTGTAATTTTTGAATGAACAAATGAAATCAGCACCATTTATTCAGAAAGCCAGTCTTAATAAGGCATCTAACAATAATAATAAATACGGTTTTCAAAAACAAACCTTCCTTTCAAAAAAATTATAATTACCACCAGCCCACAGTCAGATATGTACTTTCCTAAAAACGGCTTCATCTTATATTTTAACACTGCCTCTCATAACTGTCTGAGCAGAGCAGGTGCTTAATAAAGTTTGATTATGGTGATGGGAATGTTCTACAAAACAAAAGATTTATCAGGTGGAAGAGGTCAGGAGCCAGGTTTTATAATTAGACAGAATGGGGCTTAGTACCCCCAGCTTTGCCAATACAATAATAGGACTGCTTAACTAAATGAAATAACGCTTATGAAATACACAGTGAAGTTTCTGGCACCCTGTAAGCATTTAACACATTGGTAGTTAGTGTTACGATTTTAGGAGTCTAACATTTTATGGCTCGAATCCACTGAAAACCAATGCATCTAATTCCTTTCATTACCACAGAGGGTAAAATAAGAAGCAGCTATCCTCTATCAGATCAGGCTGGTGGATGACAATCCGTTGAAGTTTTTAGAAGTCTGTTTACTGAGAAGTTTGACTGTTTTTGAAATGACAGCCAAGAAAGCAGTAGCAGAGGGTGATTATAAAAGAGCAAAGAAATGACAAAGGGTCAATTACAGACCATAAATCCTTTCCCGGTTTTAAAATACGAATTCAGAATCTAATTTAAATAGTCATATAAAAATAGTCTCCTACAAAAGAGTATCAGTTTGAGAAACTGTATAAATATGAGACTTACACCCTAATATACAAACGACATACCAAGCTGTCCTCTGCAAAATCATTCCACTTGTGGCGTTTAATACTTTCTTCTTTAACAGCTTCTTTAAGTTTATCAAATATGTCATCATGCTCTTTTCCTTTTGGTTCTGTCATGAAGCGAGAAAATTCTTCTTGTAGGGTCTCCCAAGCAACCTAAAGTTATTTAAAGAAAAAAGCTGTAGTTATACTATATACTTTTATTTAATGTGTAACATGAAAACTAAACACATGCATTTAAGTCAAATAGATGTGATAAATCACCTTATCAGATAATACATAAATACTGTTGAGTAGTACACCTGAAACTTACTAGATTTCGTTAAACAATGTCATCATAATAAAATAAATAAATAAATAAATAAATAAGAAAATACATAGAAAACCACATTAAAAAAAAAAGTGAGCAAATATAAACTCTAGCCTAGAGATCTTACACTGGTAGTTGGTGGGATAGATCTGACCTCCTGATACGTTTTGGCAGACATATACAGCGTTTTAAATTTTTAAAAATTAGTAGCCAGTATTTAAAAATTTCCAGCCTCTCTTGAACTATCTGTCAACTCTGTACCAACACTCCTATATAACACCATCTGCTGGAGCTGAACAGGAGCTGCCCCCATTAGATAAGGTATGCACTCTAGCCAGCCACCAGACTTATTTGTGCGTTCGTTTATTCATTTGTTCGTTTGTTCGTTCATTTATTCATTCATTCATTCCATTCCCTACATTATCTGAGCTTGCCTGCTTCTTGTACACTGTAAAAAGTTTAAAAAGTTTTAATGATTTAGTTTTCTTCACATCTTTATTTATGCAAATACATGAAACAATGCATCAATACTTTCAAACACAGCTGAGCATTAATCTGTCTTGTATTACAGCAAACTCCTAATTATCTGAACAGTGAAAGGAAAAACATAGTGTCCAAAGTAATTAAAAACTAAATCACTTAAGATTAAGTAGGCTAGTTAATGCCATATTTTCTATTTAGCCTTTTTCATTTTAAACATTAAGAAATTATGGCATAAAGAAAGGTGACTGTCCAAGAATACACAGTGAGGTATAACCACACCTAGGTGTGAAAGGGAAAGTGGCAGGAGACAGATCATTACTGTTTTTATGACCACTTCTATTGCTTGAATCATAGGATATGAAAATATCCTATCAGGAGACAAGGCTCAGAAAAATATTAGGGCCAGAAGGGAGGAGAGCTAGAGAAGTAGTAGCAGCAGCTATTTCATTACTTTAGGGGTAAATGTGTGGAGAACTGACCAGGGGTCACAAACATGCAGCTTAGGTGAAGTAGGCTGTAAGAGTTCTTGGAAAGGGAGGCTTGAAGAAATTTTAAAAAGGGTGAAAAAGCTAGAACTGGAGAGGATAGGAAAGGAGCAAAATACACCTGAATAATCAGAAACCAACATTTTGTTTTTAAGGTGAGTATGAAAAAATTATTTAACACTGATCCTAATTTTGTGAACATCCTTACATAGAAGTACAGGACACACTGATTCAGCTAGAACAATCATTTTCCAGAGTAATATGCATGGCAGATCAACTTGGATGACAGTCATCATCATAAATAGCAGCTGGCATTTACTAAGCAGTTACTGTGGGCCAGATATTATCTAAGTATTTTACATATATTAACTCATTTATTCTTTAAAACAATCTGTGAGGTAGTAACATTATCATGCCTATTTTACAGATCAGAAAACAGAAATCTTAAGCAACTAGTCCAAGGATGACACAGTTACTAAGTGGGAGAGCCAAGATACGTGAATAAGAGAAATGCATTCTTTAAGGTACTTTCTTATAATTCTTAGTTTAACCTTCTGGCAGGATCTGAACTAAAATAATGATTATTTAAGTATAATTGAGCCTTACAGAAAACCAATAAATAAAATGTTTCATCTGTTAAACATTTTTCTTATGGAATCGCTAAACCACAGAACTTAAGAATATTTCATTAAAATTCAAGAAAATTTTGGTTTCGTTATATGCTATCTTTGGATAGCATCTGGAAGAAGAACCAACACTCTCAGACCAACACCATACAAATTAGTAAATTTTTATAAGAGTAGTAACTGGTAGCAGCATTAAGATTAATCCCCGCACAAGATGAGAAATAAAGAATAAATGGAGTATAAGGACCAAAAAGAAAGATAGTGGCTGTGATGGGAATAAAACCTAAAATTCACAGCTCCTACTCCCTTCAGATAATGCTTCTTACCCATTTAATTAAATTATATCCTAACCTCTACTGCTTTATTAGGAAGTTGTTTATCAGTCCACTGTTTAAGCTTGATATCCACTGTAGTATTAAAAGTCCCTGAATTCATGGTCTGTGCAGCTGGAAGATAGATGTTTTCAATCA